CAGAGATTGTATTGGCGAAACAAGAAACAAGGACTAGAACAGGAGATGAGAAGAACTGGTGTTGATCTGCTGGGGAGGAAGGGAATGGACGAAGAGAGGCCAGCTATTTATAGATAGGCAACCCAGCAGATCAGAGAACAACAACAACAAGAGGGGACTGGGGGGGCGCCAGCTATGCTCCTAGAGCGTGCGTGGCGAGCGTAGAGAGCATTGCTACAGCTGCTGGCTATGGGGAAGTAGTGGGGGGTGTGGAGAAGCCGAGGGGGGATTGGCGAAATGAGAGGAGAGAGGAGGAGTGGCGATATTGCAAGAGGATTGACGAAATGAGAGGAGAGAGGGGGAGTGGCATTGACATTGTCATTGACACTGACATTGACACTGACATTGACATTGACATTGGCGTTTGACATTTGGCGGTTGACATTGGCGGCTGTCAGTAGGTAAGCTTATGGTTTTGGGATGACCCCATCGTTTTGATGTCTTCAAGTACGTGTCCAGAGGTTGAATCTCATACTTGGCTGGTGCGGCGAGGAATTGGGCGCTTTTGGCAGATTCTGGGTCGAATATACGACACCATACACTTCCATCATCGCAATTCTTCTCTTCTAATCGAGTAATTTGGCGGTACGGTCTTCCCAAAATCAAATCGTGACTGAGGGACTCGGAACTGACAAAACAGGCGGTCGAGCAACTGATGGATCCAATAGAAATCTTGACATCGTAGACGACACTATTAATTCGACTGGGTCTTCCATCCATATTCTTCAACGTCGTGTTTGCGGGAATGGTTGTTTCGATCGGGATGTTCAGTGCTTCGAATAAACGTAGTGACATTAGATTCACTTCGGCTCCGGAATCTGATAGTGCAACGATCGAGTTCGAGTACTGGTTGATTTTAACGTTCGCGTGCGGACTGATTCCACTTAGAGTTGGGGTCTTATATTGTTCCATCGCAATTTGTCGAAACATCATCACCTCTCCCTCATCCATCTCTTCAGACTGAATGTTGTACACATTTTTGAGGTACTGCTGAGGGCGTGCTGCATGTTGGATGGCGTTCACGTTGAACGACATTTCGGCGATTCGTTCATCACAGGCTTTCTTCTGCTTTTCTCGATCACTTTGTTTCTTGATTCTTTCTTCATGCTGGTCGATTGGTACACGGTGTTGTCGTAGGTCGGATGCAACAGATTTTCGAAATTTGGGACTGAGCGTCATCAGTTCCGGGAAGGTAATGCCAATGTTGACGTTCTTGTAGAGTCTGCGTTTGATCGCGTCAACAGGATGATTGCCTTGGTCTGCAATGTCAGGATAAAACTTGAACTTTGGCTGTCTTCGTTTGGGTCGTTCTTCATTCGTCTTGGTCTCAGTATCAGTCTCCATCAGCGTAACAGGTTGATCGTCAATTGGTCGGTCTCCAATCGGACGGCGTTTCTTTTTCTCTCCTGGTTTCAGGATATCTCTTCCAGCGAATCTTTCTCGGACGGCTCGGGTAGGTAATTTTCTCTTTCGGCCGGTGTCATCTGCATCTTCCGTATCGGTTCCAGCTCTGGCGGGTGCTTGTCCACTTCGGGGTCGGTTTCTGTCATCTGGGTCAGCAACAGCAGGTCGTTTCGGATCGCGGGCTTGGGCAATAGTCGTATCGAAATGAATGGGATCATCCCAGTTCGTAATGTTCCGAATCGTATAGGTCAAATCTTTGGCATGTTCTTCAAGATAATCTCGGATTTCGGATGAGCATTCGGATGTTTCACGGGTCTTTTTCTTATCATCGTTTCGCAACATGAACGAATTGATTGAATGACTGTAGGATCTCTGATTGGCGGAAGTGTTGCGGTTGCGGAGTACGGCAGCTTTGGAATCTTCGAAAACTTTCTTGATCCCTCCTCGTCCAATATTCAAAGGGATTTCTTGTCCGGGTACTCCACTCGTCATATTGTCAGGGTACGCAATTCGTCCTTGTCCGTTAAGAACTAGCTCTCCTCGGTTCTGAACCTCGGAAAAGTCTCTGCAAAATCTGCGCTGGTGTCTTTCTTGATCGCAGTAAACGCATCGCAAGGGTCGCACATTCGCATTGCCGGTGTTTGTTGAGCTACTGCCTTGCAAATCGTTTGCAGGCGGAAGTCGGGTCGCAGGAGTCAAGCTCTGCAGGATTCGGTTCTGGTTAGTCTGCAACTGTGCCATTCGTTTGGTCATTTCGCGTACTGCTCGGTCAAGTTTGCTCTCGGTCTGTTATACTTGTCCTTGTACGAAGTTCAGCTGGCCGCTAACAGTCGGGTTGGTAATACCGGGGATCATAAGAATCGGTTTCTGGACGGTCATAGATCGCACGTCGGAATCGGGTTGCTTAATAACTGTCGTAAGTTGAGAAAGCGCGGCATCTTCATTGGTTGCTTCGGTGATGGCTTCCATAATTCGGCTAACGGAGGGTAACTGAGTCGGTTGCAAGTGGTTCCACGCTCAGCACCGAGTCTTCTGGCTCGTTGGAGAACTCGTTTGTCGAAGCCGGGTTCATCTTTCCACGGGGTCAGAAGCAGATTGATCTTTTCTTTGTCGGCGACCCCATCGATTCTTGCATATCGATAGGCCATTTCGTTGATCAATTCAGCAACGTTGGCAGTGTTCTGTTTGACATGGTCTCGTCGACTGAGAGCCCATTGTTCGAGGTCGTTGAAGGTATGGCGAGTTTGAAACGCATCAAAGTGGAATATCACTTCTTCAGTAAATGTTGCCCAGGTTGGTTCTTGTCTCCATCGAGTATTTTCGGTTATGTCGAGCGATTGGAAACTAGGCATACTACGAAGCAGCGGTCGAATGCTTGGTTTCGAATACTGGATGAATGGCTGCATACATCGTTTGTGTTTCAATTCCACGATTTGTCGTTCTCGGTGATTAGCAATAGCGGGATCTCGCGGGTTATACGGACTGCAAAGTGTGGTGTGCGGAGGGTTTAGGACAATGCTCGGGCACTCGGCGTCAGGTTCATATCCAGCGTCGTTAAGTGGAGCATAGAATAGGTCGATTTTCTCTTGTACATCTCTTCCATCGAAATCTATAGCTCCAGGTTGTCCTATCATAGGTAAACCTTTCGAACTAGCAACTCAAAGTAGTACCGCAAACTGGTCGGCAGTCACAGTAAAAAAAGGGTTATTTGCCCCATAATTGGGAGGTGGGTTAGGCGGATTGTTCGGGTCCGGGTTCGGATCGGGATTTGGGTTGTCAGGCAGTGGATTAGCGTCGGCCATTTTGGCGAGAAAGTTGCTATTACTCCAAAAATGCGAAGGTGTTTAAAATAGACGGTCGAAGGTCGTCTCTAAAAACGAGTCGGTTGTTGGAGTACAAAAGTGCTGACGTCAAAGAGTGGCGCAGCAGGATGCACGTGTGAAAACGCGCTTTGGCGTGTCGAAACAAGGGGTAGGCTGTCGAAAAGTCGGGCGGAGACGTGCTGTCGAGCTGTCGAAAAGCGGCTGTTTTTGGTAGATAGCGAGTCGAATAACCAGCGTATCGTTTTTCGTCGATTTTTATTGTACGGTAGGTACGAAGTCTATACAGATAAGCGGGTCGAAAGAAAGTCTGAGCGATAGAATCGCTTTTCGTCGAAGAAGAGGACTCCTGGTAAGGTCGCCAGTAAATGTGGTGGTGGCCGGCAGAAACGAGGGTCTGTCGAATACGGGGTTACGGTCGGGTCTCGGGAAAAATAAGCTGCCGGTCTCTCAATAGCACAAGAAGAGATCTCAAGTGAGAGCGTTGTCTTGCCACCTTAATATCCAGGTGCTTTGAAAGGAGTCCTTCTTCTAATATGGGGTCGGGATTTACGGGTACGGGTACGAAGTACAAAATCGGGAATATCTGTAGGTTTGACTACAAACCAAAACAACGGGGTTATCCAATCTCACTCTCAGCTCTTCTTACAAGATTCCTGAACTATCAAGTCCTCGGCAACGTCAGCAAAGTACAAGTCACGACACTCGGGGTCGTCTTGTCTAAGCTCTCCGGGTCTATGAGCGCGCCTTGAAAGTCTATCTGAAACTGAAAGAAGTCGTCGGTAGTAGAGAAGTAGAAAGCTCTGTTGTTGATCGTGATCTGTGTTCTGCGTATTGTACAAAGGTCTGGGGAAAACAGGCGGGTTTTTATATGGATTTTTCTAGGCTATGGAATTTTGTCGAAGTCCAAATTCTCTACTAGTCGTCTCTAGAGGATTTAGCTACGTCGGGGTCTTTTTCTCTTTTCCTGCGGCGGTCTATGTAGTTTTTCCTTTTTCCATTCGCAATTTTGGCGTTGATACAGTCTTATTGCTAAACTTTTCTCGGGGTTTTCTGCAACGTTCGGCATATACAGCCACCGGAAATTGGTTTTCTCGTTTCGCACGTGATTTCTTCAGCGTTTCGGGCGTCGTGGGAGCTTCCGGTTGGTTGAGAGTCGGGTCGGGGGGTGCTTTCATGTGTGAGATCCTCTCCTACGCCTACATTTTTTGCATGACAGTCATATCCGAGGACAAAACGTCGTTGTGAAGCAAGGTTTTGGTAAAGGTAGCTGTATTTGGTAATCGCCGGAGTGTCGGGAACGCGAGTGTGTCGATTTATTGTCGGAAGTTTTGACGGTATTTTGACGTTGTCGTATAAAGGTGATTTCATTCGCTCGTCGAAGATTCTAGGCGTATAATCGGCGTCGGAATATGATCGATTTTATGCGCAGTTCGAAGCGCAATACTATAACGGGACCGTGCGCCCAATCCCGCGCCCAAAACCAGCGCAACGTCCATTTTTCAACGGACATAAGCGAGTGCATGCGCTGAAATATCAGTCAGTTACCGCCCCCGACGGGTTGATCATTCATTTGAGCGGCCCATTTTTGGAGAAACGGCACGATGTGCGGATTCTGGCTGAGAGTGGCCTCGAGGAAGCAGTCCTGCAGCATCCCCCCTTCACCGAGCAGAAGTGCGTCATATATGGCGATCCAGCATATTCGCGGAAATCCTGGCTGATATCAGGGTTCAAAGGGGCCGCGCTAACTCCCGCGCAAAGGGACTTCAATGCTCGCATGAGCTCTGTGCGGGTTTCCGCCGAGTGGGTTTTGGCAAGATCGTTCAGTTCTGGGCGTTTATCGACTTCAAGAAGAACGACAAGATTCTGTTGCAGCCCGTGGCGAAATACTATCTGGTGGCCGCCCTTCTTACCAACATCCACTCCTGTTTGTACAGAAGTTGCGCTGAGAGCTCCTTTTTAGTTGACCCCCCATCCGTAGAAGAATATTTGAGAACTGCTCATGAATGATATTAAGTCAGTTTACTGATTAACAACTGTAATATCTGGTCCATTTGGTCACAGCGCCGGTGATCCACCGCAATCCGCTGCTGTTCCATTGCAAAGCGTCGATCATAGGCCTCCTTTCGTGACGCCGCATCCTCCTTCAACCATGCCTCAATGTCCCATTCACCTGTATCCCGTCGTGCACGCTGACGGGGGGCATCCGAGCCATCCACCGAGACACTGGCAGATCGAGAGCCCTGACGGTGTGCACTCAAGCCCTCCAGCGCTTCCAAACGCAGCTGCTCCCCCTGAGCCTCCTCCCTCGCCCGCCTCTCAGCATCTGCAGCCCGAGTGAGGTCCCCAGTATCAATCATCTCTGTTAAATCAGTGAGAAGCTGCTCGCGCTCACTGTATTCCTCGTTGGTACCAGACGCCCTCAGCGAGAGAAGGTCATCTGCGCGGTGGGCCTCAACCAGTGTTTTGCACCGCTCCCGTGCCCGCCGCTCATCAAAAATATCTGCCCCAACTGCGGTGTTGGCGTTGCAAGCCATCTGCATCCACGCCTCCGCTTTTGCTGCCCGTGGTTTGCCGTAAGGGAAGATTGCGATGGCCTCCTTCAAAAGAGCGATGTCGTGAACAGGACGAATGCTTGGGCGCTGGCGTCGCTTTGCTGAAGCAGCTGGTGTGAGTGGCAGGCTTTCTGCGTTGCTGTCTGTGTCGTTACCGCCAAGCATTTCGAGATTGAGGTTGGGATTGGGAATCAGGATGGGAATGGGAATGAGATTGCGAGATGGGCTGCGACGATGCTGTAGACGATGCTTCTGTCTGCTCTGCTCATTGCAAGCTGCAGCGGGTTGTATAAACGGTACGACGAGGAGGAGTACCAAAGTCCCGGGCTACTTGTTCTAAGGGCGAACTCGTTGTCGTTGCGGGTTGTATAAACTGTCTATTTTTGGTTCCATCCCTTCCGCTGCTGCATCCCCACAGTTCTGCGGTAATAAGATTTCTGTTTCACAGCCCTTCCCCCGCACGAAATGACCCGCCCCGAAGGCGGGGGGCGCCAGCCCTCGTACAATAGAAAGGAAGTACGAAAGGATACAATACAAAGGAAGTTCGAAAATAGGAGGTTTCCCCGACATCACTCACACGCTTTCCCATCACCCACTCAAGCAACTCCGCAATGTCAACAGAGAAAGACTTAGCGAAAACCGGTAGTTCCGAGCATGAGAACGTGAAGAAGCACAAAGAGAAAGCCAAGGGGCAGGCTGTTTTCCCGATTGACCACTGGCGCCCGATTTTGAACTATTTACCATTCAAAACGCTCATCACATTCCGAGCGGTATCACGTGCTTGCTCGGCAGAGGCTAACATGGTTCTGGAGAAGCAGTTCGGATGGCAGGCTGGATACCGCCTAAGTCCTATAGCGATATTTCTTGCCGAGGAAGGAATTCTGAAGCTACATCCTGGGAAGATGAGGAGTTTGATGAATCTCTATAAGGTATGTATTGTGCAACGTCTTTTCCTTGGGTGCTACCTTTAACATTATGGCAGACCCCTGTAGTAGTGCGAAAAAAGAAAAGCCCTTTGTTGAAAGAGTTTCACTGGAACCAAAACTGTCCCAAGATGTATTCGACATCGGCCCGCGGGCAGCGACTGCCATCTGTGGAGATGAGTCTGTATAAAGCCAGAGAGCGGGGCTTCACATCTTGTGAGGACCCATGTCGCGGTAGCGAGTTTTATGAGGCTGGACTCCAAAGTTTGGAATATGACTGCCGGCGTTGCTCTGAAGGCATGGTTGCTTTAACCACGTCGCCAGGTGAGCAGTCGAGTTCGCAAACGCCATTGCGTGGACAGCCCTCATTGCGGAATGAACCATTGCAGCCTCCTATTACAAGTGCTTATGTTGGGAGTGCACCCGAAGCCTGACCAGTGGAGTTTTAAAATGCGACAGGCCCGATTGTGACGGGCCAATAAAAGAATCAATACTCCCTGTGCTTCTTACAGGTAAGGCAAAGGGGCTCATTTTTCCCAGATGTGTTTCCTTCAAGTAACTCCGTCACTCACTATCACATATAGGATATCAATGGGAATGCAGCAAGTGCCGAAAATGTTTCCCGACAAACACGGACACCACTTGCAAATATGGATTACCCACCAATTTGTGCGACATGTGGTGTACAAACATACGTCGGGACGCGAGCGACGAGCAGCGGAGGTGCAACCACCGCTAACCCGACGTCCGAGCATCATTTTTACAAACGGCACCATGTGCAATACCACGTTTGGTGCGGGTTACCCCGTGACATTCACGTTCCGTATGGTGCCATTCCTATCTGAGATCTCACTCTATTTCACTCCACGCTTCTCAGCAAGTCACGAGTTGGAGGGGGTTGTTTGGTCCGGTTCTCTTGGTTTACGCAGTGAGGTTTCGAAAGTTCAAAGAAGGCAAGATGTTATAACGGGCATATGTGCTTCGATTAGTGGTTGTAGTTGTATCTTTCCTAGCATTAGTTCTATATTGCTTTCCGCAACCCCTACGATGGCCTGTAAATATGCACAAATGTTCGCATCTGGCTGCGATCTGTGCAGCAGCTCGCCTCCATTTGCGATTGCCATCAGTCATAGCCATCAGTCACAAACCGTCGTATTGTTGAGTCGCGACGGGTTAGGGTCAAGGTGGTCGCGACGTAGTAACTTCTGTGGGTCGAGAGTTTATCGATAAACGTGTTGCTATAAGAACCACTGCTGCGGCTGTACCGCCGTAAGAGGCAGATCAGTAACAGCGACAGTGGAGTAACCGTAAGATAGCCCTACTGACGTTTCTGGAAGGTGCAACGCGGCTGGCCCGGCACCGAACACACGCACACGGCGTTCAGCCTCGGTTTGAAGGGGAAGGTGACGAAAACGCTGAACATTGCAGACACGGGCAAGCTACAGAATGAGTTGCTTGATCACGTTCAAACAAGCGTGGACCTCTCCGTGGGTCCCAACGCGTTGACTGAGAAGATTCGGCCGATCTTCAAGCTCTTCATTGACGTCGACTTCCAATATGAAAGAGTCGAACATTTCATGCAAAATCAAAGCGGAGATGACTGGCGGGAAAGGTTACACGAGCAGCTGCAGTTGATCCCGATAGCAGCGACGACGATCCTTTCAAGGGCGCTGAGCAGGGCGCCACGGCTGATTCTAGCGACTCGCATGCCGTACAAGATGCACCTCCACTTTCCGGACGTAGTTGTGGACGAAAGGGGGGCTAAAAAGTTCTGTGCGGATATGAAAGTAGCACTTGCAACGCATCCTCTGATGGACAAGGCGTCGATAGATACGTCGGTCTATCGGACTGGTCTGCGACTGCTCTGGTGCCACAAAGGGGGGATGACGAAGAATCCGGATGCAACCCGAGTGGAGAAACAGCGGTACGAGCAGCTGTTTGGTGCGGGGACGTGGTCAGCGGTCTACGAGATCACCGACCCATTGACATGGGAAAAGAAAACGGAAAGAACGCTAGAGGATCTTCAAGCGACGTCGATCATGGCGGAGGAAGGAGCGGAGCTGACGCCCTTCGCCCTGAGTGCGGAAGAAATAGAGGAGATGGAATCAAGCGGAGAGCCATCGTCGTCGTTGTCACCAATAAGGAAGAGAAAGCGAAGCGCCAAAGGCAAAGGAAAAGAAGCCGTCAAAGATACCCAGTCAAGTGATGACTCCTCGCTTGTAAAGACGAGACTACGAGAAATCCCGAGCAATTTGCGGACGTATGTACTCATTTTGACAGCAAGGTTGGGCAACCCTAACCCGCAGGCGGCGAGCTGCTGAGAGACGCGACGAGTTGCGGCCTCCCCCCCCCCCTCCCAAAGTGGCTTTCGGCGCCGGTCCCACTGCACACGCAGGCATATTCAGCACTTACTTGGGCTCATCGTTGCACTCTCTCCGATATGAACGAACTCGGTAAGCGTCTGTTCCGCTCCCTTTCCCGTGGCTCCAGGCGCAATGTTTGCGGGAAGCGCCATCGCGGAGCAATCTTATAGCTCACCGGCGGAGCCTGGACACGGGGGTTTTCACTGTACACTTGGGTTTTCACGGGGTTGAGGTTGGTGTATGGTGTCGCTGACGGTTTCCCTCTCTTGATTCCCTATCACAGACCGACTGCTCAAGGAGCTAGACAAGGCTGGCTCCTCTAGAGGGAGCGTAGTGCCAAAGTCTGTGTCGGGGCTAGGACCAGCGCAACCGCCACCTCCACCTTCCCAGCAGCCAGGACAACACCAACAGTTCCAGCAACCCTCCCAGCACAACCCCGCCACCGCTGGTTCGGCGCTCGGTTCTAGCGGCCGGGGGGGCTCTTCCACCAACCTAGCCGCCCCCACCCAATCCAACAGCGAGCTCAACGGCCTCCTCAAAGACCTCACGGACCTGAAAGGCCTAGTGGTTAGTGGCCAAAATGCCTCTTCCGACGAAGATGACACCCGCCACCACCCACCACCGCGTGCATCAGTCGGTGCCCCCGGCAGCGGCAGATCCAGCGTAGGCGGCTCCGGCGGTCCTGGCGGAATTCGCAACGCTAACCTCGATTTCGGCGCCTTGGGCAGTTCGGGTGGTGGTCCAGGGAGCAGCGGCGGGTCCGCGCGTTCATCCAACACCGTGCGTCCAGCCGTTACGCCTAAGCCCTGCGCCACGTGCGCAAAACCCGTTATTGGACCCACTGTTAATGCGATGGGACGCACGTATCACCCGGAACATTTTACGTGCAGAGGGTGTGACCGGCAGCTGGGCCAAGGGAGGTTTTATGAGAAGGATGGGTTTGCTTTTTGTGAAGGGTGTTGGCAGAAGGATTTGCCGAGTTGTGCGTACTGTAGTGGTGTCGTTATGGAGGTGGGCATCATCAATTATTTTATGCCGCAGAGATCTCTGCATCTCCCTACCCTTTGCACTAACGTCTACCAACAACAGCGCTGTGTCGAAGCTCTAGGCAGATCATGGCACCCACACCACTTCTTCTGCGCACAGTGCGGCAAGCTGTTTCCGCCCGGTGCGGCATTCCTCGAAAAGGACGGCATGGCCTACTGCGAAGACGATTATTTCGCCCTCTTTGCGACGCGATGCGGTGGATGCGAGAAGGTTATCTTTGGCGAATTCGTGTCGGCTTGTGGGAAGGAGTGGCATATGGATTGCTTCGTTTGTGGGGTGAGTTCTGGGAGTGGATATGGATGGTGAATGTGAAGGGAGTGGACGCAGCGGTTTCTGATGATTGTGGAAATCAGGACTGCAAACAACCATTCCCGACCGGCACATTCTACGAGCACCAAGGCCGGCCTTACTGCGCGACACACCATTCCATCCGCCGAACCCAAAACATGACGTCTTTCGACGGCAGCGGTTCCCAACAAAGAGTCCAGGGCCGACTCGACACCCACAGCCCTCAGAAAGGAGCCCAGCAACAAAACCAACCAAATTCCGGGTCCGCCCTCGGCTCCGGCTCCGATTCCGACCCCTCCCCATCCGCGACCGCCAACCTCGACCTTCCGTCCCTCCCAGGCCCCTCAATCTCGCACGCCCTCCCACCGTCAACGCCTTTCTGCTCCGGCTGCCAAAAGCACGTCGCGTCCCGCGGCGGGGGCACAGCTGAAGTCGTATCGATTGCGGGCAAAGTGTGGCATATGGAGTGTTTTACGTGCAGTTATTGTGGGAAGAAGCTGAACCCGAAGGCTGCGGGTGGTGGAGCTGCGGGGGACGGGAAGGCGGGAGTGAGTGGGGGTGGGGGCGAGGGAGCGCCGTGGAGGGAGCGGGAGGGACGGTGTTATTGTTATGGGTGTTTTAATTATGTTGGGTGAGGTGGTGGGGTGGAGACGTTTTCACATTCTTTCGGTTGTTGTTGCCTCTACTTTGTAACTCGAATAGCGCCCCAGTGGTCTCGAATAGCGCCCCAGTGGACCTCCATCAAGTACGGCTTGGCCCCATTGTAAATCTGCCGAAGAAGTGGTGTTGTGCAGGTGCATATTGACCGCTTGATTGGAAGCCTTCTGACTTGTTTGCACATCGTTACCCAGTTCAACTGGTCCAACCACCATCCCCTGGTCGGCGTTTGATGGTGCTCGCGGCCTCCCTCACCCGCACGCACCCGGTGTCTATGAGGATACGGCAGAAGATGCCGCCGACACGCCCATGGACCATGAACGTGTGCTTGTCGATGACGGTATTCCGGAATGGTGTCCTGCAGTCGGGGTCCGGTAGGCCCATCGGGTTGTCTGGACGCTGAGGCGCTGCAGGCGGTCAGGCCCTGGGGAGAAAATCCTGACTGTCGACGGAGTGCGGGGCTCGGGGGCTCCTCCGCGGCCGAATGGAACTCCTCGTCGCCGTCATCGAAAGCTTCGGCGGGCGCCGCCGAGATCTTGGGGCGGTCCGGGTTCTTAGGGCACGCTCGGGCATAGTAGTCCTTGCTGTCGCGGGGGGCTACTGACAGGTGCGGTCAGTGTGGTGACGCCTGCAGCACCTCATCACACCCCCCTTAGAGCCAAGCGTCACTCCTATGTCGACCGCACCTGTCAGTAGCCCCCCGCGTTGCTTGATGTGGAGAGCTAACACGAGCGTCGACCGTGGAGAGAGGGCGCATGGCTCTACCGGAGCGGTTGGCGTCACTCTGTGGAGCGTCACCATGATGGCACTCAGATCCACATCGATATAGTGTGGAGATAGGTCGGCCTGGTTGCGGCTGACGATAATGAATGGCACCGACGTGCACCGGTCCTTGTCCCTGCGGATATAAAAGGAAGGCAGTAGTCCCCTCAGCACCTTCCCGCCAGTCCTCGGACCTCACATCTTTTGCTCTTAACCTTGCAACCTCTCCTCGTCTTCCTCTCCGCCATGGCCAGTACAGCTGCTCCCGCCACGTCCTCCACTGCCGGCCCAGCCCCGGCCAAGAAACGAGCTGGTCAGGGTCCCACCCGAGGGGACGACCTCAAAAAGGCTCTCAAGAAACAACGAGTGGTGAGTTCACGGATGGTACCCAGTTGATCGGACTTACATGGTTCTGACCGACCCCATCTCAGGACACCCCGGAGGTGCACTCCGCCAGCACCCCGGAGCCTCCTGCCCCGCCGGCCCTGCAACCGGTACCGGCCTGGCCAGATGCTTCTCTCCGCATGCCAGCATATTATATGCCGGCCCTGCATTATTCCCCTCTGTGACGACACCGTAAGGACCCACATGTTATGGGTAATCCCCGCGAGTTGACGAGGTGACTGACGGTTCCCGTCCCTTTCCGACAGACTGACCGTCGGCGAGTTCCCGTGCGGCTTCGCGCCTGCTTCCTCGGCACGGACGTGATGTGCGGACGCCTCGACGCGAAGCCGTCACCGATATGTACCACAACTATCCAGCGGGGCAGAACATGACCAAGGCGTGTCAGACAGCGGGACGGATGTCTGACGCATGCGAACGCCAAACTCAAGGTGTGGCGATTATTGATGAATAAGGATGTCTATCAGGACAGCCTGTTCATGCAGAGCCTGACTGACAATGTTATCAGTCCTATCCCCAACGACGACGACGACACCCAAGCAGAACATGTGTGAAGCAACGGGCCGGGTGTGCGGGGTCGTCACCCATGCGTACGCCAAACTCAAGGTGTCGCGGCGAGCTCTACGGTCGACGAGCTACGGCCGATGAGCGTGGGCAGGGATTCTTGAACGTAATCAAGTAACTAGTCTTCTTCACTTCTCAATACATCGTATCTCCAGCCCATTATCGATCAAGCTTCCTTTGACGTTTGTACATAGTAGATACAGTACAGTGTACTGAGTAGTAGGTGTGATGGAAACCTCCCTGTATTCAACGTAGTTCTAGAAAACGTAACTATCGAGGACCAAGTCCGACGGCAAAGAGTAGGGTTATGCAACGAATATATGGGCACGTGAGGGCACGGTTAGGGTTAGGATTCGGGTTCGGGTTAGGGTTCGGGCTAGGGCTAGGGTTATATAGGACACGGTTCCGTAACAAGGTGCCAGGTGGGGCTCGCCTCCGTCCACACTCGGACTTACATCCTTCACCCTCTGACTTACATCGCGCTACCTTACCTGACGCACGGCCTTACACACGACTTCCTACCGCGCTATTCGCAACCGTCTTGGGAGATCTATCTCCTTTACCTTGGCATTGAACACCGCCCACCTGACACCTACTTTCAGGGCCCTCCTCCGCTCTCTCTCTCCACTCAGTCATGGAGGGCGCTCTCCTCCACTCCCCTCCTCCTACCGCACCAACACTGACACCAAACACACCAAATACTGAGGAACGACCACCTAACCTGGAACAGATACTCGCACCGGGAGCTGATATAGACGCGGATACAACAGATATCTCGTTTGAGACGTTGGACACTGGGTCAACGAGTGGTCCGCCGCAAGGTAGGGAGGCATGAGGATGGTTGGGCGAGGGATGGGGATGAGGAACGGTTGCGGATGAGGGGTGGGATGAGGGTTGAGGTTGTGTAAGTGATGGCAGCCGCAAGATGGTGGTTCTCTGCAACGAGCAAAGCCATGCGAGTTGCGAGCGGAGCGAGTTCCTTGCGCAAAGGGCGCAATACCTATGACCATTGATAGCTTCGTGAGCGGACGCTTGACATTTGAAGATTCTAACTCTCCTCCTTGAACTCCGTAGCAGGTATCTGGAGCAAAGTCCACTCCGGCCTCACCCACTTCTTCTACACCACCTCCTCCGCCTTCCGATCCCCCTCCTCCGATCCCACCACCCTCCTGTCCCGGCTCACCTCCCCCATGCACCCAACAGGCCCCATAACCTTCCTCGCCGCCCACACCTACCCCTCCTTCACCGACCCAGCCTTTCTAGACGACTTCAGAAGCAGGCCATGGATGACGTACCGGAGCGGGTTTGAAGGGATCGAGGGCACGGCGTTTACGAGTGATGTTGGCTGGGGGTGTATGTTGAGGAGTGGGCAGATGTTGTTAAGTGGGGTGCTGTTGAGGCATTTACTCGGAAAAGGTGCGTGTATCTCTTCTTCAGAGTCGGTTGAACCGATTTCCTAACGCTCTATCTGTGTTACCTAGACTGGAGACTCTCTCAAACCACCACGGACTCTACGACATCCCACACCCACGCCCGCATCATATCAATGTTCGCAGATACACCACTCGCCCCCTTCTCGCTACACAACATCGCCCTGCTTGGCGCACGGAAGTTTGGAAAGAGTGTTGGGGAGTGGTTTGGGCCTAGTACCATTTCGCAGTGTCTCAAGTATGCTTTCGCCCTCATATTCACATCGTATCCCTGTTTCTGCTTTATTCCGGCCCTTTTCTGACCAAGTTCTGTTTGGATCAGGGAACTAGTGGAACAGACACCAAACCTTAACCTCACAGTCCACATTGCGACGGACAACACGTTATATACCTCCAGCGTCATCAGACAGTGCACGAGTGCGGGCGACGACACGACAGGGGACTGGACGCCGGTACTCATATTAGTGCCCTTGATGTTGGGCGTGAGGGAGACAAATCCGGTTTATTTTGCGGGGCTGAAGGTGGGTTGAGTCTCGAGGAAAGGGAGGGTAAAATCGGGGTGGGGGGGGGGGGGGGGAAGAGAGCTGATGAAGGTTCGGTTCTAGGCGTGTTTTGGAATCGAGGCCTGTGTCGGTGTTGCCGGGTACGTCAAACACAAAACCTCATACCGGTGCTGCTCACGTGGAAAGGTTACTCACCTCACCACTCATGTAGGGGCCGACCCAACTCCTCGCTGTTCTTCGTCGGGACGGCAGGTAACGACTTTCCCTCCATGGGTCTCACGCGATGACGAATGTTCGCTTACCCCCTTTCTGTCGTATAGGGGACAACGTTCTTTATCTGGACCCACACACCGTCCGTCCCGCTGTCTCCCTCCCTGATCCAACAGACGAGGTGGGTGTTTACGTTCAACGCCTTATCACCCCACATGCACATGTGAATCACATTGACACCTTGATACCGTAGGACCTAGCGACTTACACACCCCCGCAAATCCGCACAATCTCCCTCACCTCCCTCGATCCCTCCCTCGTGCTCGGATTCTACTGCCCCACGCCTCAATCCTTCACCGCCTTCACTTCTGCATGTCTCGGTTCACAGGTAAGGGCATCATCAAAGATCTGTTTTATGTTGGAGGGGGATGGAGTGTTGATTAACTTTGGGTGGTTTAGGTGTCGAGTGGAGGAACGCCGTTGTTTGCGATCATGGAGAAAGAGCCGGAGTTCAGGGATCGGGGGGCGGATGTGGATGTTTTAGGGGATGATGATGATTTTTGAACCGCCCCTTCCCCTTGTCACTCACAGAGAATTCGGGAAGGGGCCGATTGTTTTGGGACGGTAAAGGGGAGGTTATCCGTCTCTGTGCACGGCTTCTTCAAGGAGGGCTCAGGTCGAACAAGACTGGCTGTAGATATGTTTTTGGAGGGGAGATTGATGGATTTGTACATACAGAAACGGGTTTTTTGTTCATCGGGAATTCTAATTGACGGTTCTGTTTTTTGCAGCCCATACCGGGCTTTGATGTCTGGGGTTCTTACGATCGTCCCCAATCGTTCTGAAACGTCGCCCATTGCGAACTGACCCGTCCCCAGTCGTTCTGAAACGTCGAGAGGACTTAAAGCAAGGTCAGAGCAACTGAAGGTGGGTGAACCTATACGCTCTCAATTGTTGGCCGGAAAGCGCGGCGGGCATCCGGGCATGCTCAGTGGGCGGTGGCGTGAATGCCAGACGAACGCTGACGAATGACGATTTTCCGGGCCGGTGCGAGCATGGATGAGGCGAGGAAGGTTCGGGCCGGTGCGAGCATGGATGAGGCGAGGAAGGCAGTGGTGAGGGCGTACCCGCGCAGTGTTGTTGCCAGATTGGCTTGGTAGGCCGCGCCATCCCTCTCTTTAGAATTTACATAGCCCACATAGACATATGTGCCTTCAATGGCAGCTGCCCGTTCCACTTGTATGATGCACTCGTTTACGTGAAATAATGAGAAAACTCCTTTGAGTGGATTGTGTAACATGGAAACCACTATTCAACCTACGTGCGCTTCTCTACGGCCTACTCTTCTATGTTGATCTTCAGTGCGCATCCTAGGCTTTGATCGCAACGACAATGTTGGCCTTCCAAGTCAGTTTCCAGTTTCCCTCCCGCCGCACAACCTCCCTGACATGGTCAGAATACTCCTGCTTAAACTCAGCCGACATCGGCAACAAGAAAAACAGATTCTCAAGGTATTCATCTGCGTCCTTCTCCTCGGTGTCGAACTGGAACGCTACAATCTGCACGGAGTGGAACCCAATGTTCTCAAGTTTGGTGTGGATCTCGGTGGGGTCGGTCCAGGCGTGCAGCGGCGGCGGTTTTTGGAAATCGGGTTTGATGGATTCGATGCTTGTTTGCCAGCCGGGCTTGGTCCAGACGCTGAATGCGAGGGTGCCGCCGGATTGGAGGGTGCGGTGGATCTCTGTGAGAACCTCACCCCATCAATGGTCTGCTTTCGGCAACTGACGCCGCGCGGGACTATGTTGATCACCCACCTGTAAACGCTTTGATACTATCGCCTTTGATCGTCTGCGGGCCAAAGTTCCACACAGCATGCGTGAACTCCCCATCTGAGTACGGGAGGGTCTGCAACCGCCAAATTCCATGTCAGTGGCGACGGGCGGGGAGATTGCTGACCGGCAATGCCACCATACCTGAATGTCGCCCTTCTTAATCTCCACATTGCCAGCCTGCAGCTCCGGCTTCGCAAGCGCTGTCTCAGTCATCTTATCATCATAATCCAAACACTTTGCATGCCAATCGCAGTTCTCCAACCCGTGAGCCCCGTTCAGCGAAATGAACTTGCTGGTTACCACACCGCCGCCGCTTGCAACATCTAGGAAGCGGACGGTTGGGGGAAGCGTGGAGTTGATGAGATGAGCTTGCTCGAGAACGCCGACGGCGACCCGGCCGGTGGTGAACTCCATAGCCGCAATCGCGGTGCCTATAGGATCCGGTATTCATCGTTAGGGACCTAACCTTTTATCAAACCCGCTCAAAACCACACAATCACTTACTGCTTTTCGATGGCATCTTGTCGACAGGTATGTATCTCGTTGGCTTGGACGAGGTGCGGTGGGAGCCAAGGATGATATAGGTCCGTTGTGGATTGCCGGCGATGAGTGGTTGGAGGACTCACAAGTCTGGGGGGACCTTTATGACATACACTTTCTATTCTTTTTGAGCTGGCGGTGCTGCTGGCTCTACACACATGGACGGGATGCTATGAAAGGCATTGCTCAGCAGCCTTCAGCCTCATCGGGTAGTTGTTCAACGTGTAGGGAACCCAAAAAGCGCATTGATTTGTGTTCCAAATCCACGATGTGCGAAATGCAGCGAAACGCGTCCGCAAGTCCGACGCCTATTATTTCACGCGTCGGAGAACGCACAAGCCGTTTTACGAGGTCCGTCGAAGAAATACGATTTGCACAAGGCTGCACAGATTGAATCACGGAATTTCATTTCCCACCTTCAAATGTGCAAGATCCCACGTTGATCCGGAGTCCGGACCCAGATCATGTGAAATTCATGGAAGGATCGTCGATGCAGCCGGAACTCGGAGCCGTCTTGAGTCTTGCCGCGTACGACCAGATAGATCTGACAGGATCGACTGATACGGACGGAAACCGTGAAAAGCAGATGACTTTGCGATAGCTGAGCTTTGAAGGTGCGGTACGGCTTTTTTGGAGTTTGTCAGACCATCCACGACATGCCAGTGCATTTGCCACGTTCGCCGAATTCGCGAAACGGGCTACAGTGTAAGATGAGACATACAGTATATCCCCAAGATTTGTCAAGGACCCAGGCAATGGGTCGACGGTGGTTCAGCCTGCCGCAATGTGGTCTTCTCCTTGCTATAAAAGAGCCACTGCACGAGCGCATCCTGCTGTCCTTTATTCAGCCATTCAACCATCACTGACAACAAACGCAACTTCCGACACACCCGACTTTCCCATCCCAAGACAGTTGCCTGAAACTTTAGTCATGACACAAACATCAACCATGGATGCATTCCTCGTCACAACTCCCAACAAGTGGGCTGTCCAGCAGGCTGAGGTCCCGACCGCCAAAGATGGCGAGGTCGTCATTCGAGTTAAGGCCTCGGCCGTAAAGTAAATTTCATTTTCATTCAGACTGGCTCGCCCAGCTTCTTTCGGCATATTTTCCTTACTCATCAACCCTCCCTCCCCATCCAGCCCACTCGACGCGAAAATGGCCAAAGAAGGCTTCATGATCCGCGCCTTCCCCTCCCCTCTCGGCGTCGAGATCAGCGGCATCGTCTCCGCCACCGGTCCCAGCGTTACCACCTTCAAAGTCGGCGACGCCGTCATCGCTCGCGCTCAACTGAACGGTTTTGCCGAATACGCCACCGCTACCGTCCGCCACACATGGCACAAGCCCGCTAACCTCTCCTACACCGAGGCCGCTACCATACCCGTTGGCACCCTCACCGCCGTCATTGGCCTGTTTTCCGAGAAGGGACTCAAGATCTCCCGGCCACGGGACGCGAAGCCGCAGACACCAAAGGAATACCTACTTGTGTGGGGAGGCAGCTCCACCGTCGGATCGTACGCTGTGCAGCTCGCGACCGCGGCAGGCTACAAAGTGATCGCCACGGCGAGCCCCAAGCAGCACAAGACGGTCCTCGCCCTCGGCGCCGCGCACGTCGTCGATTACAACGCCCCTGACGCCGTCGAGCAGATTCGTAAGCTCACAGGTGGAGAGGCCAAGCTAGCGTTCGATGCCGTCGGTGGTCCCGCGACCGCCCAAGCTGCCGCGGCCCTGCGTGCCGATGTAGCCCACCCGTCAACAATCGTGACAACAGCCGTCGGCGCCCCCGAGATCCCTGCGGGCGTGACGCTGTTGCCTACGATCATGGGGTTCGACCCGACGCTAGCTGGTTTCGTGCATGAGGTGATTGGAGATGAGCTGTTGGGGTATTTTGCCGAGGGAAAGCTTAAGCCCAGCAGGGTGAGGGTTGTGGATGGAGGGTTGGAGGGGCTTGGCGAGGCGCTGGAGTTGTTGGCTGCCAAGAAGGTTAGCGGAGAGAAGTTAGTGCTTACTCATCCCGAGTAGATTCCCGTACATCTATATTATTTCTTATGTGGAATAGACATTTTGTGATGATCGTCCTGTGAACTCTGGCGACAATGTTGAATGGAGGCTCGGATGGAGCTAGTCTGCATGTGCACTTGTCCGTCCGATTTCCCTGGCACAGCGGCGACCGATCGATCGGCGGCACACGGAGGAAGACCGTGAGAAGACTGCCTTCCGGACGCGCTTCGGCCACTTCCAGTACAACGTATTACCCTTCGGGCTGACGAACGCGCCCGCGACATTCCAACGCCTCACGAACAAACTCCTGGGCGACAAGTACGATTCATACCTCATCTCTTACCTCGATGACATCCTTATTTTCAGCCCCGACATGGACTCACACATCGGGCATGTCACCGAAGTGCTCAAGACCCTCTCGGCTCATTGCCTCCACGTGAAACCGTCCAAATGTCAGTGGGCAGTGGACCAGGTCGAGTTCTGCGGGCACATGGTTGGTAAGGACGGCCTTTCCATCGCCCCGTCCAAGGTCAAGGCTGTCCGCGCTCGACCCAAACCCACCAGCGCCCTCGAGCTCCTCTCCTTCATGGGGCTAGTCAACTATGTCAAGGAATACATTCCGCATTATGCTGACCCAGCCCTCCCACTGACCAACCTTCAATCCCCCACCCACCCGTGGCAGTAGGGCGCCGAGGAACAAGCAGCATTTGACACCATCAAGGCGCGCGTCGCCGACGCCCCTTGCCTGGCGTTCTTTGACCCTGATAAGTTCCCCTACATCTTCTCTGACGCGTCGGGCTTCGCCGTAGGGGGCTGGATCGGTCAGGGCACAGACGGCAACTTTCCCATGCCGAATCAACTGCCCACCACGAAAAAAGGACCTCAATAACCTTCCGCGCCTCTGCGTCATCTCATATTACTCACGCAAGATGGCTCCGGCCGAAACCCGATACCCCGTGCACAAACAGGAGCTCCTCGCATTGGTCCTAACCGCCACTACCGCATTGGTCGCCAATTCCGTGCATTCGTCGACCACGAATCCCTCATATACCTCCAGAATCAGCCTCATCTCTCCCGGCGCCAGGCCGGATGGGTGGAGTTCCTTCAGGACTACGACTTCACTATCAAATACCTCCCCGGTGAGTTCAATCCCATCGCCGACATACTCAGCCGCACCCCGCTGTACGCCCCAAAGTGCGTCAGCTGTCAGATGAAGGTCGAAGTGTTCTCCATTGTCACCGGGACACCTCTACCGGACATCACCGGCCGCCTCCCTACCGACGCCGAGTGGCTCACTGCGCTCAACGATGACAAGTTCTGCAAGGACACCTTCGCCCACCTGCAGACCACCGCGACGAACCCCGACGACCCCTCTACCCTCTCGGGTTTTGCCCGGCGCCTCACGCGCGACAACCGCAGCTTCCTTTTGTGACCATGGCCCCCGCTACGTCCCCGAGGGCCTTCGGGGCCCCCTCCTCAGGTTCTATCACGACTCCCTGGCCAACGGCGGCCACTCAGGTGTCCAGCGCACCGTTGCCAAACTCCTCGCGCTCTACTACTGGCTCCACCTCAAGCGCGAGGTCCACCAGTTCGTCCGGACTTGTCCCGACTGCCAACGCAACAAGCAGGCTTCCAACTTCGGGCTCCTACGCAGCATTCCGGTCCCCGACGAGCGCTGGTGTTGCGTCGGCTTGGACATCTACTTCCCCACGACAAACTCTAAGGTGGGGGAAGCGGGAGACGAGTCCGTCATGGACAAGGGAGCCGTCCTCATCCCGGTGGAATACTTATCCAGCCGCATAATCCTCCTCGAGACCCACGCCAAGGCAACGGCAAAAGAACTCGCCCAGTTGTTCTTTGACCAGGCCTTCCGCATCACAGGCATGCCCCACACGATCATCAGCGATCGGGACACCAAATGGACCGGCGCCTTTGGGAAGCACCTCCTGAAGTGCGCCGGCGTATAGCAGGAACTCTCGTCGGCACGCCACCAACAGACCGACGGCAAGACGGAGAACGTCATCAAGACAATCAAGAAGATGATGGTCCCCTACCTGAACTACACCGGCTCGAACTGGCGCGAGATGCTTCCCCTCCTCGAGTACAACTACAACAGGATGCCCCAGACCTCCACGGGCATGTCCCCGTATGAGATCAACATCAGGTACATCCCGAAGGTACCAGACCAATGGGGTACCAGCGACCCAACAGAGCAACTGAAACAGGCTGATCGAGAGTCCATTGAGGAACGCATGCAGCAACTGACCCAGGTGAGCCGCATCGTTCAGCACAGACTCCGAGAGGCCCAGGACAGGCAGGCAAGATACTACGACAGGAACAAGAATACGGACGCGTTCGTAGTAGGCGACCAGGTCCTGCTGAACCGCGAAGGCGACGTGTCCCAGAACACCTGGGAGCCACTCCGACACGTCCGTGACACCTTGGCACACAAGCGATATGTCCGAAAGCAAGCCGCCAAGCGCCAGGAGACTCGGGAGACCAAGGCGAAGGAGAGAGCGGCAGTCTCTCGTCGCCGTAAACGTATCTGAACCTTGTACATACATCAAAACAGAGTTTCTACTGTCCAAAATGATCGATACCATTACAGACTCATGCGGGCGGGTACTAGTACCAAGGCCTATGATGCGGGCGGGTACATAGTACCAGGGCCTATGATGCGGGCGGGTACGTAGTACCAGGGCCTACAATGCGGGCGGGTACGAGGTACCAGGGCCTATGCGAGCGGGCAAGCGAGGTGTCAGGGCTCATGCGGGCGGGTATGCAATACCAAGGCCTAGGATGCGGGCGGGTACAGGGTACCAGGGCCTATGCGAGCGGGCAAGCAAGGTGTCAGGGCTCATGCGGGCGGGTATGCAATACCAAGGCTCAGGATGCGAGCGGGTGCGAGGCACCAGGGCTCAGGACAATCGGTGAAGTACCAAAGGGAAACGCTCCGAAGAGATAAAATTCAACAAAATATATACAAGAATGAAGAACGACGACGCCAGGCTAAATACCAACCTGTTTGGCGAAAGACCATTGGCAACGTGAGCCGTGGCAGGCGGTCCCCATGCCACAACGCAGCGGGACGAACTGCTGGATGTTCATCTGGCTAGAGGGAGCGCGTCACATCAGTGGCGGGACCTGTCGAAAATTCACGACTGTTGTACTTACGCGCGGACATGCCCCATACACTGGATGTGGTCGCAGGGGAAGACCCGCACGTCCTTGGCCAGACAATCGCAGTCGGGCCACACACAGGTGCAGGGTAGCTCCTGGCAGATGAGCGGCACTTCACACTCCTCCCCGAAACCGTCCACGTAGCCGCACGTGAACTCTCGACGGGCATGTCGGTCTGTCGGGAAGAGACGTGAGCTGTCAGTCACCCCACGGCAACCACCCATGACATGCGGTTCCTTACGGTGTCATCACAGAGCGGGAGGATGCAAGGCCGGCATATAACGTGCTGGCACGTCGAGAGGAACATTTTGCGGGGGCGGTACGTGTTGCAGTTCCAACACGTAGGTCGGGCCGGTGGAGCCGGGGGCTCCGGGGTACTGTCCGAGTGCACCTCGGGGGTGTCCTGAGATAGAATTGGTCAAACCACGTAAGCTCAGTCAATTGGGCAACCTCCGTGGACTCACCACTCGCTGTCGCTTGATAGCCTTCTTCAGGCTTTCCCCTGTGGCGGGGCCCTTGCCTACATTCTTCTTGCCCGATGACGGGCCGGCGGCAGTGGGCTTGGCAGGAGGTGCTACGCTGGCCATAGTGAAGAGGGGAACGGCGACGGTGAGAGGTTACGAGATTGGGAGCAAGAAATGTAAGTCCAGGGACTGGCGGGAAGGTGCCGAGGGGATTACTGCCTTCTTTTTATATGCCACAGACAAGGACCATAGCGCCCCACGACCAGCTGCGGCCGAATCATCTCTACCTCATATCGGCGTGGATCTGATTGCCATCGTGGTGACCACCGGTGACGCCAGCCGCTCCAGTAGAGCCATGCGCACTCCTCATGGCCGACACCTGTGTCAGCTCCACATCAAGTAACAGCGGGGAGCGACTGACAGGTGCGGTCGGTGTCGGAGTGAACTTGGCTCTAAGGGGGGTGTAATGAGGTGCTGCAGGTGTCACTTTAGTGCGGGGAAGCGCGTAGGGCATGAGATCACGTGTAGCATAGATTATTCTGGAGTTCTACGCTCTGGGGTGACTTCCGAAGGGAAGAAAAGCCTTCGGGCGGCGCCCCGGGAGGTAGAAGCTCTAGAATTCTTTGAATACATCGAGCGGAGACAGAGCTAGCCTCTGGCAACGGACCTAGCATTATTACAATCCGCTGCCACGTTACTTCCACTCTACCTCAGAAGAAGAAGAACAAATCCAAGACTGGCGGCTCCAGAGGCTCCTCCCCTACCCAATCCTCGTCTTCTGACGCAATCAAGAAACCTCCCCAGTGCAGATACTGCCAAAGGGAAGGCCACAAGTAGGAAAACTGCTTTACTTACAAAGCTGTCAAGGATATCATGGACAAGAACGCGAAAACCAAGCAGGACGCACCCGCTGCAGCCTCCATGGCTTATGCCATGCACGTTCAAGTCCAACCAACCAACCACGACGTCCGCCTCTTCAAGGCGGATGTGGATTCCGGTTGTACGGATCATATGACCCCATATATCGAGGATCTAGATCCATCTTCTCTTCAAGACTACCAACGCCTTATTGGACTCACGGATTCGACTACCATTACCTCTCACAAGAAGGGTACCGTACTTATCCAACCTACGTCCGGCGGCAACGTTCTCGCTCTTTGCGACGTGTTATTGGTTCCTAGTCTTGCCCAGCCGCTTATATCTGTTGCTAAATGCACTGATAACGGCGTTACCGTCTCCTTTCACCCCACCGACGTTGTTATGTTCATTACTGACCGACATTTACTCGCGATGGGAATGCGCGAAGGCGACGCGTCCTATTTGGAAGGACGGGTTACCACCTACAAGCCCAATGCACATGCACTGGTCGCTTCCATAACCCCCCAACTTCTGCATCAACGTCTTGGACACCCCGGAAACCACATTCTCCCGGTTATGCCTAAGATAGTAGAGGATTGGCCTTGAGTGGGGGCTACGCCGGACTCCGGCGCACGCTGCGATCCATGCGCTCTCGGCAAAGCTACCCGCCTTACCTTCCCTAAATCCACATCCCCGCCACACAAACCCGGCGAGCTGATTCACA